TGTATTTTTGATTAATTTCGTTGATAATTGTTTTCAAAGTAACTTATTGAACTAATGGGCTTAAAAGATTGTATAATAATAAAGTGGACGTTAGGCCCAATAACCCAAATACGGTTCGTATCACCATGTCATATTTTGGTGAATATTGGGGCGATTTATTTTAAGAAGTTTGGTTAATAATTGATAATAATTGATTTGGGCTAATATAAAAAGGTTTGGTTATATGCAGAATATTTTTTGAATTTTGGGCTGATTTTTTAAGAGGTCTCAATGCCATGTCATATTTTTTACAATGCCATGTCACATTAAAATTGTGACAATGAATTTGGTGAGTACACATAAACTCTTTTCAAAAAATTACTCTTCAATTAATATATAAGAGATACAATACTAGAGATAAATGTTGCAATTTGTAATTTTCTTCTTTTGATAAGTCTTAATTTGATATCTATCAGAACCATTTTTCCGCCAGCTGAGTGACTTAAGCACTTTGTAGTTCTATTGCTTCTTGAAATGGTGGTCAAAAAAGCGAAATGGCCGAAGAACGAAAAAAGGGTTTTAGCCAAGATTAAAGGAAGGTATCAAGTTTGTGTTTGTGATGATGTGATCTGATGTAGTTGCTTTATATGCTTCATATCTTGATGTAATAATATTCATTTTCTTGTGCCTAGTCAAATCATAATATTTGATTGTTTTTTATTACACAAGTTGAAACACCAATCGGTTGTAAAGATAGTGTGATCTCTTACCCTGTCTTGGTAGCGACATCTATAAGTTCTCAGATTGAAGTAAGAGTTGATGAAGTCAACTATGATCATAATAAGAATATGTGTCCTCCTTCTTCAGATTCTGTGTCTGCTGCATGTTAATCTTTGATATGTTTTGTTATTTCAATAATCCGGGTTTTGCTTGATCGTAAATTGCCCGCCTAGCTAACCATGCAATAATATTGGTTTGAAGTTTGCTAAATTACCTTAAGATTCTCTTCATATGTCCAAAGTTGCTTTAGGCTTTTTTGAGCTTCAATGTGAGAAAAGGGTATCTTTCTAAGTGTAACCTTAACTTTTATGATTTCTCCAATGCAGGCGATGAGAGTGTTGGCCAGACTTGAGTTAATTATGGAAGGATCGGTTGTGAAACGATAAGCTGTAAGTACACTCAAATGTACACTCTCGTTTGTAGTCCAAAATCCGATCATGAAGAATCAGTCTGCGAGAAGAACATCAAGCGCAACATAAGCAACTCCTTCAGAAGCATGCCAAAGATCTTAGGAGGCTTAAAGGTCTCACTTTTTTTTTCTTGTATATCTTAGATGTTGTTCTCATTTACTTGCTAATCATAGTTTCTTCTACGGTGCCTACTGCATTACTCATACAAGTTCATCTATTAAATTGGTTCTAATATAACTTGCGGCTTTTCTTGCTTAGTCAATCATATCTTATGTTTGTATTCTGATCCTTGCAGCTTGTCGTTTCACAACCGATCCTTTCATAATTAACTCAAGTCTGGCCAACCCTCTCATCGCCTGCATTGGAGAAATCATAAAAGCTAAGGTTACACTTAGAAAGAGACCCTTTCCTCACATTGAAGCTCAAAAAAATCCAAAACAGTTTCGGACATATATATGAAGAGAATCTTAAGGTAATTTAGCAAACTTCAAACCAAATTATTGCATGGTTAGCTAGGCAGGCAAGTTACGATCAAGCAAACCTGGATTATAAATAACAAAACATACCAAAGATTAACATGTAGCTGCCTCTTCGTTTGACTTTATGAACAGACTCAGGAGAGATGGAAATATTGAATCTACAGCAACATCTTCATGTGTAGCTGACACATAATCTGAAGGGTAG